AACAGCCCTTCTTTAATGGGTTTTCACGGTGCTGAGATGGGATATGGATGCTCCATGTCCCCACTTTTACCCCTAGATGGTTCCCTCACGCCTCCCTTCTTTGGCTCATCCTTATGGGCTTGCCTGGAGTATCGTCCCTAATGATTAAAGTGTAAAAATATTATTTCCAGTGCTTACTAACAAGTCTATTAGCATCGCCAGATTCCTTTTGGAATGCATTTGCATACATTTCCTCCCAGCCCATCATGCTGGCTGTGTGTTTTCCCTCCCAGCCGCTGTAGCACCTGCCGTGCTGGGCTTTTCCAGCCGTATTTGCAGGTTGGGTAGGAAAACACCCATGGATCCCCATGGAATGGGGACTGCCACCTACTACCCATGGGCATGCTGAGGCTGAAGTGGGGACAGCCTCCACTGCAGAATCACTGAATCGTTTGAATTGGAAGAGGCTTTTAAAGGTCATCCGGTCCAACACCCCTGCAATGAACAGGGACTCCTACAGCCAGATCAGGGTGCTCACAGCCCTGTCCAGCCATCCCTGGTCCTCTTTGCTTCTTGTTCCGAATGTGGTGGACCCAATCACCACCACTGGAAGGCCACAGTAAGGCCACCAACTGCAGGTAGCAGAGGTTTGTCCTCTTCCTCTCATGCCTTCCCAAGACCTAAGGAGAGCTGATATCCAGTGGTGCTACTGGGAACCGCCAGGCTCCAAGTGGGACTTCACAGGAAGGCCACTGGGTTGGCGAAGGGCATACGGATGCTTAGAGAAGGAGAATCTGGCACACCAAGTGGGAGTGAGCAAAAATAGACCTTCCCTCCTCCTTCCCTGTGTTTTGCCCTGGGTGTCTCCCTGCCTCCTGAAATAATGCTGGGCGCTGCCCCCACCCCGCACCATGATGCTCTCTCCATGCCTCCCGTTTCCATGGCGACCATAAGGAATGTCGCCAGGGTGACAGGGAGGAGAGCAAGCTGGGATTTGGCATTAGAAACGGGAATTTGGGGTTGTTGGGTTTCTTTCTTTTTCTTTTTTTTTTCCCCTTCAGTTCTATTTTTGGGTTCCTATCTCTGCCTGTGCTGGTTTGGGATGCTTGCTCTCCTGCAAGTCCAGCCTCTATTGAGGACACAACAATCCAGGGACACCAGGTTCACCCTTCTTGCTAAAGCATTCTTCTCTCACTGGACTTCTGTGATTTGCCCCCTAGTCATTCCCCCTCAGCTTCTGCTTTGGGTCACATCCAGGCCCTCGTGGTGGACAACAAGACCCGTGGGCCATCTCCAGCTGTGCTGTGGATAGTAGCAGTAGGCGTGGAGGGGCTCAAGGGCTTGTGCTGTCTTCAGTCAGTGTGGTGAGAAAGCAGGTCCATGGTTGCCCAACCAGGGGCTGTTGGCATGGTGGTGGCTCTAGGCTTCATTCCCAGACAGAAGAAGGGTCAGGTAGTACCTGCTCACCTTCTGAGGAGCTCCTGCTTCCCATCCATCCATCCATCCATCCATCCATCCATCCATCCATCCATCCATCCATCCATCCATCCAACTTTCTATTCCTCCTTCCTTCCATATATTCCTTCAATTTATTTTTCTCTCTCTCTATCCATCCTTCCATTCCTCCTTTCTTCCATCTGTCCTTTATTTCATCCTTCCATCCACCTCTCCATTTATCCATCCATCCTTCCATCCCTCCACCCACTCCTTCATCCGTCCGTCCATTCCCCCTTCTTTCCACTCATTCTTCCTTCCTTCCTTCGATTCATTTCTCCATCCATCCATCCATCCATCCATCCATCCATCCATCCATCCATCCATCCATCCATCCATTCTGCCCTCCCTCCTTTCTTCCATTCCTCCTTTCTTCCATTCCTCCTTTCTTCCATCCTTCCATCCACCTCTCCTTCCAGTCCTCCATCCATCCCTCAATTCATCCATCCACCTCTCTGCCTCTCATCCATCCATTCCTTTGACTCATTTCTCCACATCTCCACCCATCTTTCCGTTTCTTCTTCCCTCTTTCCCTCCTTTCTTCTGTCTTTCATTCTTCCATCCATCTCTCCTCCTCTTATCCATCCATCCATGAACTCCCTCCATCCTTCCCTCTCTCCATCCTTCCCTCCCTCCGTTCTTCCATCCCTCCATCCCTTCTCCCCACCCTCCCATCCCTCCATCTCTCTGTCTCCCCCCATCCCCACAGCAGCACTGGGAAAGGTTGGCGGAGTGGGGCTATTTTTGGGACCGTCTCCCTGGCAACGGCTGCCACCACCGTCTGTGGTGGCTTTTCCATAGGTGCTAAAATATTCCACGCTTCTTATTAAAGACGGTGCCGGTGGAGACGGGCGGGGGTGGCGAGTGTGAGCCACCCCACTGCTGGGGCCATTGAGCCAGGAATGGCCGGGGCACGGCACGAGGACAGCGAGGGGTTGGTGACATCCTTGCTGTGACATCCCCATGTCCATCCCAATGGCCCAACCATGCTGGTGGCACGGCGGACAGGGTGCAGCCGTATGTCTGTGTGGAGCAAACCACCACCGTGGCCACGTGCTCCTCCCCATCCTCAGCAGCACAGTGAGGTTTTTGGGATGAGTTGAAGCACTGTAGGGTGGCTTCACCCCTTGGGCAGCGACCACCATGGTCACATCAGGAAGTATCACAGATACTGAGAGCAGAGCTGGGGCTCTCTATGGGATGGACAGTGACTTCCAAATTGGTGCTCCTAGGTATGGGTGTTCTCTGTGGGATGGGCAGTGACCCCCAGTCTGGGGACAGGGATAGTAGGGATGGAGGGGTCGGACGGCCCCATCCAGCTGCGGGGAGCAGCGGAGCGGAGCTGTTTGCAGGATGCTGGCTGCTCTCCCTGCTCGCAGCTGCAGACGGATGCTGAGAAGTACTAAAAATACTCTCTGCTCCTCCCGGTGAGAGTTCTCCAGGAGGTGACCTGGAAGCCCCCGAGATGCCACTGGGGAGCTCCCAGCAGAGACACCCTGAGGGGAGCTGGGTCCTTGCTTGGAGCCAGCTCTCAGCCTCTAATTTGGGGTCCAGGTGGGAAAATCCTACAGGTCACAGCCTGGGTACACGGCTGCCCCACTGTCCCCTTCCCACTGCTACTTCCACTGGATATGTTTCCTTCTCCCCCATGGCAGCTCAGCAGTGCGTATCCATGGCTCTGAGATCACACGCAAGGATGGGCTAAAGTAGCAGAAAGCTGTTGGATCCTACCACGGAGTTACTGACTTCTTAGCTACAGACTGCATAGCAATCAGCGAGGGGGAGAGGGAGCCAGGGAACGGGAGCAGGGAGAGGCGGTGCAGAGATTTTGGGGTGAGAGCAGGGAGGTGCAGGGAGAGGAAGGAAGGGCAGAGGGGACGAGGCAGGAGGGGGAGAGCAGAACCATCGCTGAGAGCTTGTGGGATGGACGGGAGCGAAGCACGCTGAGCGGAGGAGGAGAGGAGCTGGGCACGGTGAGCTGGGGCTCCTCAGGAATCCAGCAACCCCGGAGCTGCACAGAACCCACTGGGTGAGCCCAGGAGCTCTGGGGCATGATGGAGACACCGACTGCTGACCCCATCCTTTGACTCTGGCTCCCAGGCGGCCCCGGCGCGATGCGGTAAGAGATGCCGGGCAGCTCCCGGTGCAGCAACGAGAGGTTTTGCCTGCAAAAATGCTGCCGTGCTAGTGCTGAGGAATGGCTATAAATATAACTTAGTGAGATGTGAGTGGCTTCATGTGAGTGTGTCCGTGAATAGCAAAGTTGCTGTGTGCATGGCAGATGTAAATATCGCTAACGGAGCGTGACAGTGCGGAGGGCATCTCCTCGTCAGCCTCCCCAACTTTCCTCCCTTGCCCTGCAGGTAACTTGTGTGGTTTTTCAGCTCCGACCTTTGCTTTGCTCCCTCAGCCCAGTTCTTGTTTGCCTTTTCCCTCTCCATCCCCATGAAGCAGCCCTGCCCTGTGGCATCCGTTTGTGTCCGCTGCTCTGGGATGGGTGTCTCAGCACCAGGAAGCTGTTCTCCAAGCACAGAGTGCACCCAGGGTTGAAGTGTCTCCTTCTAAGCTTAGAGATTTTGGGGGTCTAGACCCGACCCTTCCAGCTCATAAGGTCCCAGCTCAGCTCTTGCTTGGAGTGTTTCAATGTCTCCAACAGGCAGTGCCAGTAGGGGATACCCCTTGGTGTTGGATGTGTGGCAGAGCTGAGGGGTCACCAGGAGCCTGAGAAGGGATGGGGAGGAGTGCAGGGAGCATGGGGGTGTACCCGTATCCATTTGCCATTGGAAGCAACGTCTGAGCACCCCAGCACATGGTCACCTCAGTTTGGGGCTGCTGACATGAAGGATAACATGAAGGATGGCAGGAATAGACTCAATGATCCTTAAGGGTTCCTTCCAACTCAGGATATTATGTGATGCCATGATAAGAATGTGGGCTTTTAGAAGGGAAACTGGTGGTGAGGAGGAGGAGGAGGGATGGAAATGGAAGGGATGGATGGGAGAGAGTCGATCTCCTCATGCTGCAGCCTTCCTCTCCTTCCACCATTCCTCCTCCTTGGGGCGTGTTGCCTGGAGGCATCCCCTGGCCATTGGGCTGCTCCAGCCCACGTTGCCCAGCCATCCCTGGTGTGGCACCACCGTGGGACGGCGGGATGAGGGACTCAATGACGGCCATCGGCGCTTCCATCAGCACCGACTGTGGTGCAGGGCACTTAATTGCAATCCGCCTTGAGCAAATTCCCACTTTCCTGGGTCACCGCGTTCTGGCACTGGGTTCGTTCAACCCGACGGCGACGGGGGATCGATAGATGGACGTGCCCGTCTTCGCGGTCAATCCCTGCTCACAAACACAACAACCTTTCTGCGAATGGCGCGGGTCAGACGCAGCTCTCCTGCAGGCGACCGTGTTGGGTATAGGACCAACGTATGGATATGGTTCTCATGGAGCACTGAGGGCTCCGGGGTGGAGGGGTCCCCACTGGGAGTTGTGGGAGAAGTGGGTGCTGGGGTGGGGGGGCTCAGCCTCTGCTCTGGCTGTGTCATCGCGGGGACCTTCGTGCGTAGCCCTTTTTTATCTGTTTTCTGCCTCTCTCTCCCTTTCTCTTCTCTCCCCCCCTCCGTCGGTATGTGGGCTGATCACTGCTCAAACTTTTAATTCAGATGGTAATTGGAATAATAATACGGGCAGAATCCTTCTGGCTCTGTTGCTGCAGCTGGCTTCGGGGAGCTATGAATAGCTCTGAGTCACACACTGAGAGGCTTCAACTTCAGATCATTTTGTTTTGTTTTCATATTACCCGTGCCCGGGGCTGCACAGGGGGGAAATATCCCCTCACTCGCTCCACCCTGAAATGCAAACAGGACAGAGGGACATCCATGTCACCCAATGGGGGAGCAGGGGTCAGCTCACCGTGGTTGCGGGCGCACGGGGACTGCTGGCACCCACCCGATCTATTTATAATTATTGAGGGAAAAGGCAGCAGCGTGTCTATATAAATGGCACAGAGCTCCCTCCCTTCACCTGCCCCATGCCATGTGCCTTTTGCTCTCCTGCATAGCTCCAACGCCCTCGCTAATGAGATCTAGGGTTAATGAGGGGCACCAAGCTCACATGTTAGCCTACATGTTAGCCCACATGCAGGGGCTCGGGGAGGGATGGGGGATGCTTGCAGGTGTGCAGCTCTGCCTGAGCCTGGGAGTCCCTGTACTCAAGGCATCCCCATAAAAAGGGGTCTCCGTACTAAGAGCTTCTCATACCAAGGGGGTCCGGTATCAAAGGGGTCCCAATACACAAGGGGACCCCACACCCAAAACATCCATATACCTAAGAAGTCCCCATACCCAAGCGATCCCCATGCCCAAGGTGTCTCGTGCTCACAGGGTCCCTATCCCAAGTGGTCCCATGCCAAGAGGTCCGCATACCCAAGGGGTCTCCACACCAAAGGATCTCCATACCAAGGGGTCCTTATGCCCAAGGCTAAGGAACGAAGGCCCCTCAGAGCCACAGTGACCACAGACAGGAGGGAAGCATTCGCCAGACAGCTCTGGATAAAGCCAAGAGTAAAAATACCATGGGATTTTTCCATCGCTGTCGTTGTTGTTTGCGGTGTACATCCCCGGAGCGCCAGATACGGTTGTTATAAAAAGAGAAGTGGGGGAGTGCTTCGGCATGGAGTTGTCTGTTCTACTTCACAAGGCCGCTCTGCTGCAGATTCGAAGCAGATCTTTATACCCAGACTAAATCTCTCTTTTAATTTGAAGCCATTTCCCCTTGTCCTGTCCCAACAGACCCTGTTAAAGAGTCTGCCCCCTTCTTTCTCATCGCCCCCCCCTTTAGATACTGAAAGGCCCGTGTCGCAGGCAGGGCTGTGCTGGGAAGCAGCAGGTGGGTTTATTTCCATCCACCCTCGGCTGGTTGCCGTTCCCTCCGAAGCCGTGGCCGGCGGCATGACGAGCGCTGCGCTCTGCCAGCTGGCAGCAGGGGATGGAGCGGGCGGCAGCAGCGCAGCGCGGCCCCGTCTGCGGCCAACCCGCCCGGGCCGATGCCCTGCCCAGAGTGCTGCCGCGGTGCTGCCGGAGGAGTGGAGGCAGCGAGTGGAGCCCACAGGTCCCCGCCAGCCGGCCACAAATCCGTCACCCAGGTAGGTGCCCCGCGGATGCTCCAAGGGCCGTCTGTAGGGGACAGCTGCGGTGTCCCCTTGCTGACACCATCGCCAGGGCGCATTTTGAAGGGCTTAGCGATCAGCAGGTGCCAGACAGAATTAGCCAGGTGCCTCTCCATATGAATGTCCTGTCCGTGCTCTCCTCCTGCCTTCCATCCTTTCCCCGCATCAGCCTCTGTCCCCCCGACTGCGGCATTTCTCAACCTGCTCCGGCTCCGCCAGCCCTGTCCCCTTCTCCCTCCTGCTGCCAGCCTTGGCAGGAACGCCGGCAGCTTGGTCTCGCTGCCAGGGATGTCTTCATCCCCGCTTATCCCTGCGCTGCTGCCCAGGACTGATGGTTCCTGCGCAAGGTGAGAGGGCTCTGTTTGCTTTGTGTGCTCCTCTCATCCCACTGGGATCATCCCCAGGGTGGGCTCCGGAGTTCATGTGCTTGCAGGGTTCCTTGCTCCCTGGTAATGACCTCACAACCAGCATGGTGATGTCACGGAGCAAGGACACGGAGATGCCGGGCTCTCCTTTCGCTACAATCTCTGTTCCATCCCACACAAAACCCCACTGATCTAAATGGAGAGCCTTTAGTGACATCCTGCTCCCTGCATGTGTCGCTGAGGCTGCAGAAGGCTTTGTCATTGTCACCCAACCCAGCTGAGGACAGGTTGCATCCTCCTGTTTGTCATCCTGAAATCATGCCGCGGCCGCTCAGCATCTCTGAGAGCATGGAGAGGGCCTGCACTGAGCAGCAGAGCCTGGAAGAGGATGATGATGATGACAATGACAACGAGGAGTTCAGTTACACCTGTCCCTTGGCACATCCTCCACCCCCATGCATGAATTTGGGTGACACTCAGCTGGGAGACGCTGAGTTCTCATTTAAGCCAGGGTACTCTTGCACGGTGAGAGATGACGGAGAGAAAAACAGAATATATGCCAAAAGGTTGGCCAGGCACGCGTTGGAGCTCAAAGAGGATGCTCAGGAGTTTGAGGAACCATTTTACAAAGACACGGAGATATCCAACGGCCTGTTCGAGGAGGAGGACAGCAGCTGGACCAGGACCTACCACCTCCCTGTGCACCAAAGGAAACACACGTCTCGAGCTGCCAACGCGTCACCACGCGGTTGCTATGACTCCTACCAGCATGACCCGTTTTCCCTATGGGCCCAACCCAGCGACCCATACCTCTCCAGCCTGGAGAACAGCAGGGGAGCAGAACCCCACAGGTGGCACGAGGAATCCATCGGGGACCGGGAGAACCCCTCGCTGCGTGTGTCCTACAGCGAGCTGTGGGAGGAGAACAACAAGCTGCGCAGGGTGGTGCGGAGCATGCAGGGCTCTCTGGAGAGCCAGGCTCAAAGCATGAGGAGCCTGGAGCGTCGGCTGAAGGCCAGTCTGGCCAAGGAGGAGAGGAGGGCCCAGGGGCTGCAGGCCCTCAACCAGCAGACGGAGCGCAGCCTCCAGATCATGACCCAGCGGGCTCTGGATGCGGAAAACCACGTGGAGAGGCTGAAGCAGGAGATGCTGCTTCTCCAGGGAGAGCTGGAGTCCTCCAAGGTGAAGAATGAGAACCTGAGAGTGGGGCAGAGCATGGACCCGGAGGCGGTGAAGCACAGCGTAGATTTTGCCTTGAAGAACCTCCAGAAGATAATAGCGGGTGCAAACTGGTCCATCAAGCAGCTGGTTGCTGGGACAGAGTCGCTGAATTTTGTCACTGAGATTCTTAAATCCACGGGCAAAATTTCTGATGCTGAAGCAGAGAAAAAAGAATGAATCAAAAACCGTGGATGTGTTCAACCATAGCCTATACAAAAACTTTTGCTCTCACATGTGTGTGTTCAGCTTGGTAACCTTTATTCCTCACAGAGATGCTTTCTTTGTGGCTTATCTTGTGGCTGGGAAAAGGGGAGGGTTGGTCAAAACCTTTAGGAAATGTTTATTAGTGAGATATAGCAGTGACTTTCCTCTGGCGCCACTATCAGTGCTAAGAATGAGCTTATAGAACCATGGAATCGTTAAGGTTGGAAAAGACCTCTAACATCACCTGGTCAGACCTCCAGCCCATCCCCACCATGCCCACTGACCATGTCCTCAGTGCCACATCCACACAGAACACCTCCAGGGACGGTGACTGCACCTCGCTGGGCAGCCTGTGCCACTGCAGCACCGCTCCTTCCAGGATGGGTTTTCCTCCCATCCACCCTGAACCTGAAGCTGGTGCAACCTGAGGCTGTTTCCTCTCATCCCATTGCAGTTACCTGGGTGTAGAGGCCAATTCTCACCTCTCTACAACCTCCTTTCAGGTCATTGCAGAGGATGATAAGGTATCCCTTTAACTTGGCTCAACCAGTGGGAAACAATGATTGGAGAAGATTCCCTTCCTCTCCTGATGCAGAGAAACACACCCAAATTGTCCATTTGTCTCCTGCTGAGTAAGGCAGGATGCCATAGCTCACATTTACTGTATAATCACTGGATATGTGTTTTAGTTTTATCCTTTTGGGACTATATGTGGGCGTCATTTTTCAACACCAGGTCATCCCCCAACATTTCTGATGAATTTAGGTTACCCTCCTCATTTTCAGCTGTAGTTTATCCAATTACACAGCAGATTTTTCCCTATCTGGCCAAACAGATCACGATTAAAGACTCTGGTGATGAAGGGTGGTGAGAGGCTGGGTGCTGGCAGAGCTCAGCATCAACGTTTTTTTCCAATGGGAATTTTTGGCAGCTGTTCACTCCTACCTACCTATGGTGAGTGGTGAAGCCTGCTGCCTTCTCATGGTCCTCGAGTGTCCCAGCAGTCGTGGCTGGGTCTTCAGCTGCCTCAGTAACCTTGTTGCCTGGAGGAGGGACAGCTGGTTAATCCCCACTGCAGACATGACGATGGCTTGCCCATCAGAGGCGATGTCTGGAGCTCCATACTTGCAGCCTTCCAACATGGGCTACTAAGCTGGAAGGGGTGCTGGTCACCCTTAGCCACTTGAAGCCCTGCTCTACAACACTGGTGACAAGACGAGAGCGTTTCTCACTAATTTTTCCATCCTCAACAATAACATCTATTGTTCCTGGCTCCCACCTTTGCATGGCTGCTTGCAATGAGTTCTAAACCTTGTATTTGACCCAGAAATCCCTGGATTTGCCTGAGATATGGCAACTACCTGCTGCTCATTGGCGAGGCTGGGAGGTAGTGAACTAGCTGTGTCTGTGCTGCGTGCTCTACGCTGACTGCTGTAATCCAAAGGTTACAGTGTAGGATTAGCATGGGTGTACAAAGCCCTTCCTAATCTATGAGTCATTACCCCTCACCGCATTTCCCTTCCCAGCAGCTCTGGGCAGGTGGGATAGATCAGCCCTTGAGTCTTCGGTCTCCTAGTTCTTCAGCTCAGGGAGGACCAGGTCAGGATACAACACCTCCCAGACATCCTCCCCAGGCCATACCACAGAACCACTCCTGGGATGCTATGCACGGCACATCGCAAGGTCTGTTTGCTCAACCGGCTTCTCCTTGGCTGCCCCTGAGCTCCTCCTTTGCATTGGCTCTCCATTATCTTTATCTCTTGCTTCTCTTCCCATCTTTAAAATAGGGGGGATATTCTTCACCTCTTGGCAATAAATTTCCTCTAGGGCTGACAGGGATCTCTAGGGCTGCTGTGTGTGTCTGCGCTTTGTTAGTCCTTGTGTGCGAGGTATTTAGGCTGGCTGAGCTCTTGTCCTCCTGTAAGCTATGATATTAATATATTGGCTCAGGGCAGGGACCCTGCAAGCTGCTAAACTCTGGTGTCCTTGGTCCAGAGAGAGGTGACTGCCTGCCAGCACCTTCGCATGGGTGAGATATGTGGGCTGCTGTGTGCACTAGGTGTGTGTCTGCCAGCTCTTCACCTCTGGAGCAGGGCCGTGGTGTAGTGCCTACCATCCCCACCTCATCCCTCTGGGCATACAGCAGAAGGCTGGGAGATGTGCATGCAGGGTGGATGTTTTCAGGATGGGCTTTGATGGGGTTTTGCTCTGTCCTTCTCTGTAAGGCACATGCCCAGGAGCAATGGTGATGATGGCATGGGTCTCAGCTTGTCAGAGGTGAAAGCTAGAGCTGCCAGGTCCCACACGAGCACGGCTGCATGAGATCCCACGCTCGCCCAGCTCCTGTGGCCCCCAACACCTGATGATACAGCAAGCCATGGGCAGCGTCCGAGTCAACCGGTGAGTAGCTCTCATCCCAAGGACTGTTCATAGAATCATTAAGGTTGGAAATGACCTCTAAGATCACCTGGTCCAACTGCCAGCCCATCCCCACCATGCCCACAACCATGTCCTCAGTGCCACATCCACACGGCTCTGGAACACCTCCAGGGACGGTGACTGCACCACCACCCTAGGCAGCCTGTGCCACTGCAGCACTGCTCTTTCTGAGAGGTTCCAGCCTGAACCTTCTCTGCTGCAACTTGAGGCCATTCCTTCTCATCCCATTGTTGTTACCTGGGAGCAGAGGCCAATCCCAACCCACTGCAACCTTCTTTCAGGTCACTGTAGAGAGCAATAAGGTCTCCCTTGAACCTCCTTTTCTTCAGACTGAACAACCCCAGTTCCTTCATCTGCTCCCCATCAGACTTGTGCTCCAGACCTCTCACAGCTCCACTGCCTTTCTCTGGACATGTTCCATGTGCTGCCCTATGTGTTCGGGGCATCTTCTGGTCTCTTTGCCCATCCCTCAATACATTATTTTCAAAATACCTTCCTGGGGCTTGTCCACTCTAAGTTATGGCTCCTCCATCTCCAAGTCTGAAATGTGCTGTATGTGAGGGGAGATCTTGGCTCTCAGCAGAGTTTGCTGGTGCAGAGGAGAAGCAAAGAACCAATGCAGTGCTGGACACCAGCCCTGGCTCAGGAATCGCCGATTTCAGCAGGACTGCAGAAGCCCGGTGTCCTCTTTCCAATGAGATGAGGACAGCAAATGGATTACAGCTATGTGGCTGCCCTGAAGAAACCACCCTATTTAAACAAGGAACAGTCAGCTCTGGGGTGAAGGAGTCCATGCTGGAGGACTCCGACAGCCATGTCAATGTGATGGGGAGGGAGGGAGGCTCTGCCAGCCTCCGGAGTCATTAGTGGCTTAGTGGCAGTGGGGGTCTTGGTGGGTCTGTGCACTCAGAGGGAGGCTACTGGATATCTTCAGTGGTCAGAGCATCTTCTGCCATAAGCTTTTTATATGAGAATCTGTGATTTTAGATCCAGCAGTGTATGAGAGCACTTGGAAGCTGCCTTCTCCTGGCAGTGGTGAGAGGGGCAACAATGCCATCCACTGTGGAGGGAATCAGTGGGGAACAGCTCCCCAAAGAGAGGAGTTTCTCCCAGAAAAAAAACTGCCAATGATTTGACTGTTGATCTCCAAATTACACCTTTAGCTTTGGATGCAGGATGCTGGGAGCCATGCTTGTTGCTGTGGCAACAGAATTGTCCTGAGCGCAGGAAGTGTATAAACATTGTCACCAATATACAATGGCATCAGGGCGGAGAGCAGAGGAGAAAATAGAAACTCCCATCCTTACACCATGCCGGGGCCAAAATATCGTTCTTCACATATTTCTGTCTCCTTTTGTTCCAGGTACAGCATTGTCTCGACTGAGGAGGATGGACACAAGGTCTCTGCGCTGGGCAGCATGAACGGGCACAGCCGGAACGGGAAGGGCCACACACCGCGGCGGAAGCACCGTAACCGCTTTGTGAAGAAGAACGGCCAATGCAATGTCTACTTCGCCAACCTGAGCAACAAGTCTCAGCGCTACATGGCTGACATCTTCACCACCTGTGTGGACACGCGCTGGCGGTACATGCTGATGATCTTCTCCGCCGCCTTCCTGGTCTCTTGGCTCTTCTTTGGTTTCCTCTTCTGGTGCATTGCTTTCTTCCACGGTGACCTCAACGCACCGGTGGTGGGGGGCAGTCCCTCTCTCCTCAAGCCTTGCATCATGCACGTGAACAGCTTTCTAGGGGCTTTCCTCTTCTCAGTGGAGACGCAGACAACCATTGGGTATGGCTTCCGCTGCGTGACTGAGGAGTGTCCGCTGGCCATCATGGCTGTGGTGGTCCAGTCCATTGTGGGCTGTGTTATTGACTCCTTCATGATTGGCACCATCATGGCCAAGATGGCGAGGCCCAAGAAGCGGGCCCAGACCCTCCTCTTCAGTCACCACGCAGTCATCTCGGTGCGGGATGGCAAACTGTGCCTCATGTGGCGAGTGGGCAACCTGAGGAGGAGCCACATCGTGGAGGCCCACGTTCGTGCCCAGCTCATCAAACCCTACATGACAGAGGAAGGGGAGTACCTCCCCCTGGACCAGCGGGACCTCAATGTGGGCTATGATGTGGGTCTCGATCGTATATTTTTGGTCTCACCCATTATTATTGTTCATGAGATTGATGAGGAGAGCCCACTCTATGGGATTGGCAAGGAGGAGCTGGAGACGGAGAACTTTGAGATCGTTGTTATCCTGGAAGGGATGGTGGAAGCCACGGCCATGACCACACAGGCACGGAGCTCTTACCTCGCCAGTGAAATCCTCTGGGGTCACCGCTTTGAACCAGTAGTGTTTGAGGAGAAGAACCACTACAAAGTGGATTATTCCCGTTTTCACAAGACCTATGAGGTAGCTGGCACACCCTGCTGCTCAGCTCGGGAGCTGCAAGAAAGCAAGATGACTATCCTACCTTCTCCCCCACCTCCCAGTGCCTTCTGCTATGAGAACGAGCTGGCTCTTGTCAGTCAAGACGAAGATGAAGATGATGACGAAGTGGGTGTAGCGTTAGGTGGCAGCACCAAGGAAGAGGGAGGCGTCATCCAGATGATGGATTTTGGAAGCCACCTGGACCTGGAGCGGCTCCAGGCCACTTTGCCCTTGGATACCATCTCATACCGCAGGGAGTCAGCCATCTAATCCCTCCAGCCTCCCCGTTCTACACCCATTACCCATCCCCTCCTCCTCCTCCTCTGTTCTGCACCCAAACATAGCTGGATAAGTCCCTTGCCCACCAAAAAATGCCTCCTGTGACCACCTCTCAGCACCTGAGTACGTCGAGGCCTGGAGATACTCTGATATATTCCCTTTCCCATGAAGTTGTACCCCCTGGATGAGGAGTGAGAATACACCATTCTTCCAGACAGCGCAGCTTGCTCGAGGACCTGCCCAGGGACAAGAAAGAAGCATGGTTGAATTCCCACTTCTGGGGAGGTGACAGGAGCCTGTGCCCTCAATGGAGAGACTGTACCTGCTCAAGTGGTTCTGCGGCTGAGACAACAGCACTTTCTGTCTCTCTCAACATGTGCAGACCCATGGCTATCAATAGAAATGGCTCTCACAAGGAGAGGAGTGATGCTTAAGTCCTGACTCAGTGAGAAGGGACAGGAGAGTTTAGGACTCCTAGAGGGAGTGGGAGAGTCTCTGGAGATAGGGGTTTGCTTGCATGTTTATTGCTTGTTGCACTTGACTTTCTTTGTATATAAAAAAGATCTAGAACTGAAATCCATATTCTTCCACTGTAAATGCCAAGCTGGGAGAGAAGGACACTGCACGTAGCCCGCTCTGCACTCTCCTTGTGGCACCCATCACCTCCAGCAGCAGCTCAGCCCCACAGCCCCACAGACTCAGCCCTGGATCCCCTACTCCTCCCCAGACCACGTTCTGCTTCTTTCCTGGAGCGCCTGGCAGCAGGCAGGGCCCTGTGCTCACACACCCAGCCACCGTGCCAGGGCTGGCAGGCAGTGACCTGATGGGACAGCAGGCCCCTCGTTTGCTCCTTCCACCTCCTCCAGTCTTCTCCCTGCTGCCATCAGCTGTAAAACGGAATTTGTATCTATTTATTTTTAATAAAGTCTAATATCCCAGGGGGAGGTTTGGAAACAAAGGAGACCCCGAGGCTGCAGCCTGGTGCAGAGACTGATGAGTGTTATTAGTGCTGGTGTTTGCTGTTTGTATGGGTTTGATGCCTGGAGGCTTCACCTTTGGTACTTCAGAGCCAGAGCTAGACTTAACACCACTTCTCTGTTGTTTCACAGAAGACAGCAAACCTTGGTGAGTCTTTATTAAGAGTATTAGAATCACTCACTCAAAACTAGATGACATGAGGATGGGAAAATAATTGGGTAGCTCAAAAGGCTGCTCTGCACACCTGGCAGATGTGCTCTTGGGGAAATGGTTGAAGAAATACTGTTCCATCTAATCCCTGATCTACAGAGCAGAAAGCCAACATCTTGGTAACAGCTTGGGCTTAGTACAAGGAGCAATAGGAAGTGGGGAAGAAGCAAAAGAGGAGGGAAGGAGTCAGAAGGAGTGAGGGAGGAGCGGGAACCGCAGGCAGGGAAAAAATGAAGGGAAAGGCGAAGGGGAAGGGAAGGGAAGGGAAGGGAAGGGAAGGGAAGAAAAATGAATAATGTGGTAATGTGGGAGAGTATTTGGGAGGGAACAGGGATAGTGTAACAAGATTGGTATGGACACAGACATGGCCACCTCAAGAGGAATACCTCCTGGCCACCTCTTGGCTTTTTTCACCTATGACTTGATATGCAGCCATGTTTTTCTACGTGTCTGTGTCCCATCTCCTCTCCCCTCTGCTGATTAAAAATGTCCCTCCCTCCTCCTCCTTCCTCATACTATTATTTATTTATTTTCCCCCAGAGGGAATAAACAGAGGCCAGTATTGACCTGGCTTTCAATATAGCTTTCAGAGCTGGGTGCCTGTCGCTGGTCATGGCAGTGGAAACAAACTAATGGACCGAGAGGAAAGGACTCTGCATGTGAGGATGTGAGGACACAGGCAACCAGAACACAGACTGAGCTGGTGGCCCCAAAGAAGGGAGCGTGGCTGGACACTGGACACCCCTCACCAAGGTGCAGCACCCTTTAGAGGTGAGTGGGGATTATGTACTACGACTCTAGTTCCTAAGAGTCTGGTCTGTGAGGAGATGCACTCCATGAGGACATCTAGGGGAGATTTCTCCCACTTTGCCAATGCACAAAGGTATGTGTATCCTTCAGTGCATGTGCTTCTGCACCTGCATGCTCCAATCACAAAGTACTCATGCCTGAATATCCACTGAATGTACCTACATACATATGTCATATATGCAGGCATAAGCCATCCTACGCCACTCAATAAACCATAAACACTCAGTGATGTGCACACAAACTTTGTGCACCAGCAGCACTCATCTCAACAAGCGTATGTACAATTGGATGTTGGGGACTCCTTTACGTGACCCAAGAAAAATCACCAAGAGAGAAGGTTGGATATTTAGGAACAATTTCTTCTCAGAAGAAGCAGTGCTGCAGCGGCACAGGCTGCCCAGGGAGGTGATGCAGTCACCATCCCTGGAGGTGTTCCAGAGCCGTGTGGATGTGGCACTGAGGGACGTGGGCAGTGGGCATGGTGAGGATGGGCTGGAGGTTGGACCAGGTGATCTTAGAGGTCCTTGCCAACCTTGATGAATCCACTGTGGAAAGCTGCCACGAGGAAGACTGGACATTGCTAGGTGGGTCTGCAAATCAGCTCTACAAGCCAGAAATACTGATGGGATTTTGACCAGGCTACAGCTGCGTATGATATGTGAAGCATCACCTTCCCTGTAGGTGATGCATCTGGTCCAGAGAAGACACCTCCCTTCTGCAGGACCTGATGGACAGAACGACTATGCAGCACTTGTTGAGATTTGGCTTCTGTTGAAAACTATTCCAACATCAAAAATCTAACAGAGAGAGAACGGACTTTTTGCCCTATGAATAGGATCCAGGCACTGGCTCAGATCCGGCACCCCATGACAGCTAACTATACTGCTTTCACTCCTGCCAGCTTCCAACTGAACATTGTCGTTGTTTTTGATGACACTTGAGAGACTTGTTTCATGTTTTATTTTTGGTGACACTTTCAGCCAACCCTTTTGAAAAGAGACCATCATTGGCACCTTTCAGCTCACCCAAAATTTGCTCAGCAAAACATTTTGATACACGCTGCGGCTAAAAATATGTTCAAGGAACATGATAATAAGGGAGAAAATGGGTTTGGATTTCTGTGATCAGGAATTCATGTTGATAACATTTGTGCTTCCAAACAAAAGTGCTTTTTTGCAACCAGCTCGGCTTTGGTGTTGTCCCAGAATGAAGAAGAGTCGGCTGCATGCAGGCATGTGACCTCTGCTCAGCTTCTACTTCTTCCCAGGCCATTAAGGGGGCACTCCTGCCCCTGCTAAGTCAATGGGAATTTTGCCATTGCCTGGGGTGAATTGCAGAGCTGGGCCCTAATGGAGCGTTGCTATTGGAAAAGCCCTGCAGCCCCAGCCTTCTGCTGATGCTGGGACAAATGATGTGGGCTGTGCAAGAGGGGGAGAGGTGGAAAAAGGCAGCGTGTGGGGCTGGGGGAGCTGAGCACATTGCTTGGGGGGCACTGGGCAGGCTGGGGGAGGAGCAGCAGGGTGGGCAGGAGACGTGGGGGTCTCTCAGTGCGAGGCTGCGTGGGCTGGCGGCTGAAAACCAGAGGGGCTGAGGTGGGAACGAGCTGCTGGAGGAGCTGTGTCCAGCCCTGGGGACCCGGCTGGGGGCTGCCGCAATCCCGGCCCACCGGTGCGCTGCGGGACCCACGGCCGGGAAACTACGGCACAAGCACGCCGGGGAGCCCGGTCCTTGCCTGTCCTCAGAGCACCACCTAGGGATGGCAGTGAGCCTCGCAGCACTGCCTCCAAGCAACCCGAGCAGCTGCGGGCTCAGCAGGGCTGGGAGTGGGGTGCAGGGATGGGGCGCAGGGATGGCTGCAAGTCTCAGCTGGAGGTCAGGATGGGAATATTTCCCTTTCTGTCCTGCAGACAATGCCAGCTCTGCAGGTACTGATGTGCCCATGGATCTTCAGCCCACAGTAAAGTTCAGGATGGCTGACGGAGGGGTCAGGGATTTTTATGCTATGCCATCAACTATCAGCCCTGTAAAACCTCAGCAGCTTTCACAGAGTGGCTACTGGCTTTGAAAGCAGTTCAGATATTCACTGACACTTTGATTTCTTTTCTGTGCAAAGCTGTGGCAATCTGGGAAGTTGCCCAGTGAATACTTGAGTTTAGAGACAGACCATTTGGTTATTGTCCCTTCAGTTGTCACCTCTGTAACACGGCTGGTGCAGATGCTCAACATATGAGATTTTTCTCCACCTTTCCACTATGCAGCCCCTCAGTGTGGCACACACAATCTACACTGTAGTAGAGTTGTGCTGCTGTAGCAGCTGCCTTTTTCCTGCTCCAGGCAGTCGTGAACTTGTGTGGAAGTGGAGAAATGCCCCACTGGGATGTGTCCTGGCCAGTAAGAAGCACAGCTTGCAGGCAGAGGGTTTGCAGTGCCCTGAGAGTTCTTTTGGCAACCTACCTTTCCATATTCCCTTGGGATATAAGGTAATGACAGCCTGGCTTGCAAACCACACGGAGTCTGTGCTCCTGTGTTTATCTCATTTTCTGGGAAAAAGCAATGAGAGCAGAGCAATCAATGGGCCATTCACTCTTACTTTGCCTTTGAACACATCCCCTTCAGGAGGAAGCATCCACAGAGAGCAATCCCTCTGCTTTCTGAGCAGCTGTGGCTCTAGGCACACAGTCCTGGAGCTGCCCAAAAGTAGGCAGTGTGGGAAGAGGAAATACATATTGCTAAGTGGAATGATGTGATTTCATTGCCCTGGTGCCTTTGAAGAAATGTGGGATGGACACAAACACCATCCTGAAATAGTCTGTGAGACATTGGATATTTGAGCTTTCAAAGTTTTTTTGGCCTCTGAAATTAGCAGGATTATTTTGGTGCTGGCCCCTGATTTGAAATAGCATGTCTTGAGACTTGGGAGCTGGTAATATCTGGGAATCCCAGTGACAGCACATGGGTAGAGTTGTTTGGATGTCCCAGCACTGCGGACACTGAAGTTGTCAGCTGGAGGATACGGTGCAGTCGCCAAAGCAGTTGCAACTGAGAGGGCAAGGAGCTTGAAATTGCTACTGGCAAGTGACAAGCTGCCCATCCAGCAGCAGGCTCTCCGTGTCTCTGTGGGTTTGACCTGCCACTTCTGTGCAGTTGGGAAGACTGTGAGCCATAAATCAGAAATAGTTCCTAGAAGAGTCTGCAGCTGCAGTGCAGACATGGTCAGGACGTCATAGCTCCCTGGGAACGTGTATAGCTTCCATTTCATTCAATTGCCACCTGCAGAAGCACAGTGCCCGTTCCCAATAGACACACCTCAGTCTCCAGATCTCCACCAAAACACCCCACCTGGAGCTTCACAGACAGAAACCAGCATGTTCAGAGCACACCCAGGTGCATCAGCCCCCCAAGAGCAATGGCGCAGTGCAAGTTGAACTCCATGCTGGCGCTGGGGCTGTCGGTATTTGGGGTGCTCATCCTGCTTAAATCACACTGGACTGAAAGCAAGCAATAAAGTGCTTATCCTCGGCCCAGCTGGCCGCATGGGATATGTGGTGAGATGGCCTTTTGTTAGTCGGTGCCCTGTGCCTGGCGCTCGGCTAGAAAGGACAGGCTGTCCCTTCCAGAGAAACCCCTTGCATAAGAATCACAGAGGAGCCGGGCTGAGATGCTGAACAAATCCAGCACGGCATGCCGGGAAGCTGCATTTTAAGCCATCCTCCCTGCCCTCCCATCTCCCGGCGCGTTGTTTATCTCTCCCATCCCTCCCACAGCAGCACATGAATTACTCTGACTGGGCAAGCTGGTTTCATAACCGCCCGCACCGCCCCCCCAGAGCGCATGGGACTCACTCACACACCGTCGGATCCTCACTCGCCACCAGTTTGCGCTGCCGTGAATCACAGGCTGGCGTCAATGCCGCACTCCCGCCAGCACGGGGGGGATCTTCACCGTGTGCAGCAGGCTTACATTTCCAACGCTCTCCACGATGCTCTGTGAGCTCACCAGGATGCTGCCCCGTGTGCTTTCCATTCGATACAGCCACACAGGCACTCACCTGGGCAACTTTTTCCCATGTTTGACTCCTCAGGGACAGAAATATTTTCCTATTATCCATACAGGATTTTTCTTCTTTCACCTTATAGAATCAAAGAGTCATTAAGGTTGGAAAAGACCTCTAAGATCACCTAGTACAGTTATCAGCCCACCCCCACCATGCCCACTGACCACGTCCCTCAGTGCCACATCCACACGGCTCTGAAACACCTGCACCACCTCCCTGGGCAGCCTGTGCTGCTGCAGCACCACTCCTGAGAAGAAATTGTTCCTAAATATCTAATCCGAACCTCCCCTGGCACAACTTGAGGCCATTCCCTCTCGTCCTGTCTTATTATCCGGGAGAAGAGGCTGACCCCCACCTCATCACAACCTCCTTTCCGGTCACTGTAGAGAGTGATGAGGTCTCCCCCGAGCTATTCTCCAGGCAGAGCAATCTCAGTTTCCTCAGCTGCTCCCCATAAGACTTGTTTTGTCTGATAGGATGTGCCCTTGAACAGATCACTTGGCTCCCCCCCCACACCAGCTTGGTGGGAAAGCACTCTATCACCTCCTCCCGATCAGTGACACCCATGTGAAACATCAAGTCCTCCAGACCCCCCTTAACCACTGCCTCCTCACAGTCAGCCAGTTTTCTGGCTTTTAGATGGACACAGCTTTCTGTCCATCTAAAAGAGCCTTCCTTGGACAAAGGAATATGACGGAAGATGGCACTGAAAGCCTGGCTGAGTCCAAAGTAAATACTTCCACTGCTTTCCCCTCACCCACAGAGCTGGTCATTTTATCACAGATGATGTTGGCCAGGTGTGATTTACCTTCACTAAAATCTACACTGACACCCTCTTCTTTGTGTGCCTGGAGATGTATTCCAAGAGCATCTGGTTTGGACCAAATGAGTCTGACCAGCCTGCAGTTCCCAGGATCAACTTCTTGTATTTTTTTGAAGAAGGATGCACTATTTGCCTTCCTCCTGTCTCTGCAGACCTCCTCTGACCTCCATTGCTGTACTCAGTCTCTCCTCCAACCAGCTTCCCAAACACAAATCATTTCACAGCCTGGCTGCCTCCTGTCCAATTTCACTTGGTCTGACCTGAAAATCTTCCGACAGGGATGAACATGACTCCTCAGGTCTTTGACCTTTCATTCCTAAGAGAGATTGAGGGCTTGTGCCTCAGAGCTCCAGGATCAGGGCTAATTCCCTTCTCCGTGAGCTGCACGTCTTCCCACCAGAGGCTGTGCCCAAAGCCACCCCGATACTGTGCAGAAAGAGAGGCAGCAGCCTGCCTCCAGGGCAATGGGATGGGACTGCCCAAGCCGATGGTTCTGCCATGGGGTCAGAACTGCAGAGACAAGGATCCATTCAGCCCCTTTTCTCCGAAAAACACGAAGGTTGGAGGATGGGGCTACACATCTTCAGACAAGATGCTGCAGACTGAGCTCAGAGTCCTGTCTCTACGCTGTAGCCCTCTGCCCTCACGCAGCCCCAGGGGTACACTCGAATGTTTGTTTGTTTTTTTCCATTTGGTTGTGGCTTTTTTTTTTTGTTTTTTTAAACAAAGCAGGCCTGTGTGGGTGGCTGACAGAAGTTGGGAATGCCACAAGGATATAAAAAGGTGAGGTATATGGAAAAAAACAATAAAGGCCCTTAATTATAGGTGTGGCCGGGAGCTGCTCCTATTATTAAGGTTGCCGACACTTCCCCTTTTAAGACCCTGTTTTCACTAGCTTATAACTTTGTCAAAGCATCACCAACAGAGCAGAAATTTTTGGTAGTGAGTGATTGCCTCCGCTTGAATCAGGCATGTTTATTTAGTTTGTTCTGGAAATACTGGCCCACCCCTACGTCTGCTGGGCTAGAGGAAGCACACCTGCAGTCTGGCCCAGGGGACGAAAGCTCTGGGTCTTCTTGGGCTTCAAGCAAGGGCTTGGCCTTGGGCAGAAGGACAGTTTTTGTGTCACGGAGGCTTTGTTTTGCCAGCTCAGTGAGACACTGTTCTCTCCCCCGTTGGCGTGGACAAATTATACAGCTTTGCTACAGGCCGGAGGAGGGTTTGTCACAGCTTCTCAGCCTCTGTGAACCTGCTCGACCCTCAAGGTGGTATGACAGTGTGCGGGCTTTCCCCTGGAGGAGCAG